GTGATTTTGCATGTGCCTGAATTTTATTTGGAGAGAGAAAGCTCTTGATTTTATTTGGAAAGTGGAAGGCAGTTGAGAGAGAGGATAGAATTCTCATTTTCTGTGACAATGCCTGTAACATCTCACCATAATGGAACCAGAAGGATTGAAGCACCTGTGCACCAAGGTTGCCCACCACTTGCCTCTACGGGAGGAGGAGAGGGAGAGAGGACAGAGGGAGAGGGGTCAGGGCATCTTCTGGGAGCAATTACCCTTTTCTGGCCCTGACCCAGTACTGGGCTCGGTTGCTGGTGTGGTCAGAGCACCTCCTGATAGGACACTGGGGGAAGAGGAAAAAGGCAGCTGGGGGAGAGAGTGTGGGTAGAGTACTTACCAGATGTCCCAGCAACAGAAGCTGTAAGACAGAAAGCAGAGATCAGCCCGGAGCTTGAGCATCTGCCCTGAGACATACCTGCCCAGGCCCAGATCCCCTTCATCCACAGCTCAGCCCTCGCCCCACAGCCCCTGGGACTGCCTGGATGAGGTGCTCTTTCAAAAGGACTGGGAGCTTCTTCCCCAATAATAGAAAGAAAATGAAATAAAACGATATAAAACCCTCTTCTATCTGTTTTGTGAGACTTTCATTTGGCTTAACACTTTTGACTGATTAAAATAAAAATGCCTCTGGAAAGTGGTTCCTGTTGGGCTTTACATATGATTTATGCTTCAGTGTAAATAATTTTGCAAAAGTCTATCCTGAGAACAGGATTTGTTCTTTTGTTGGGGATGTGGTAGAGATTACACAGGTAATCCATGGTCACTGTAGAAAAATATGAAATATACACGAGCAAAATATTATCACCTTAGCATACATCCTGTTGGATTTTTTTTCCATGAAAACATATACATGTAATGTTTACATGCAGACATACATAAATTACAAATGAGTATATACTATAGAAACTGTTCTCTAGCCCGATTTTCATCTGAGCAATACAAGGTCTAATAGATTAATCTGTTTCTGTGTTGTCACTTTTAATGACTGCACTATATCCTACTATTTGGCTCTCCTGTGATTTATTTAACACTCCCATTGCTTGACATTTAGGTCATCCAATTTTTTGCTGTTAGGAATATCTGATAGGGTAAAGAGGAGACTGCAGAAAGACACTGGATCTGTAGCTTCATATGGGGGCCAGGGGAATACCGTTGGGTGAGGGAAGGGGCCTCCCAAGTGGAGGCAAAGTGTGGGCTACGAATGGCCAGGAAAGTTGAATGGAAGGGTGAAGATTTGTGGGTGCTATTGTTGGGTGAAGAAGCAAAACTGGGTCCTTAGATGAATAGAACCCAGTGTGTGTGTGTCTGTATCTGTCTGTCTGTTCGTTGGTGGGAGTTTTCTCTTGTGTTTGGGCTGAATGTCAGGAAGCTTCCAGGTTTGTGTTCATCTTCAGGGACAAAAGTATGGAAGGAAATTGAAGCGGAAGCAAAAGGGATGAGAAGGGAGCATTGTGGAGAGTGTTGGCATGGGAGTTTAGAGAACTGGATTCTGCACCCGACGCTGCTGCATTTCAACCAATCACTCCATTCCTTTGCAGTCCAGCGTTAATCAGCAAACCTGCATTGACTTCCTACTGTCCTGCAATGAGTGCTGAGTCCACCTGAGGGCAAGGAGTATAAGTCTTGTCCTTCACTGAGGCCAAGAATCTAATGGTGAAGACAAGCACACATGTAGTCTACGGTAAAAGAGACGGGCTTAATGCCATTAGAGGAGTACAGATAAAATGCTATGGAGGTTCAGAGGAGGAAAAGATCCCAGGGCTGTGCTTGGCAGGGCTTGGGGTTGGTAAGGAGGGGAATCCCATGGAGAAGATGGGATTCATCGTGAACATTCAAGGATTGATAGGATTTTTACAGACAGAGAGGGAAGAGGTTTTCCACGGGAAGGACCGACAGGTACTTGTCAGCATTCCCGGCCAGTTGCAACCCAACTTCTGCTTGATTTCCTGTCTCTGCTCAAGCACCTCCAATCATGAGGGACAAAGCTGAAAAGGGAGATAGGAGCCACACTCTGGAGGGCTCCTAATGCCAGATGATGTGACAGTGGGTAACAGCGCAGGCTGAATTAAATGTTGACTCCACATCTGCTGAGTCACCTTGCACAAATGTCTTGCCTCTTCTCTGCTTCAGTTTCCTTGCTTGTAAATGGAGATGATGACAGCAGTACCTACTTCATAGGGTTGTCGTAAGGATTAAATGAGTAATCTGAATAAGACATTTAGTGTGCTACCTGACACGCGTTTAGTGTTAAATAAATGTAAGCTAGTTTTAAAAAGTTTGCTCTTTAGTTCATGAACAGTCGGAAATCACTTAGAATTATCAAATTGGTGCTGAAAGTGCTGTGTCAGATAAATTGGAATGGGGGAAATACCAAGAGAGTAGTTAAGAAAGAGACTATTACAGTGATCTAGAATACATGTGGATGGTCTGTCCAACATCTGGCCTCTTAGTTCTTTGACGTACTCATCGCCAATGAACTTGTCTTCATGCATCTTAGCCACTCATGCCCATCGTATTCCCAAGACCTCGTCATCGCCAGAAACCATACCAAATCCCAAATCACAAAATCAAACATCCTGTGCTTCCATCACAACCTCTTCTCGCATTTCATCTGCTCAAGTACAGGCTCCACAATCATCTTTGGCTTT